CCCTACTGCACCATTACTTTCACTCTACGTGCTCATAAGTTGCTTGTGAAATGCAGGGGTCAGTTGTGCTATCTATATTTGTAAATAACCTTATAGACTCTATCGATCTAACCAAGTCTCCATTCAAAGTTCCATGGTAATTTGGCGGATTCCCTGGTGACTTGTGAGCAAGAGTCTTGACCTCAGGTGAGATTCAAACCCGCACCTCACGCCTACCTAACGACTGCACTTTCTACTACATCACAACAACTTTGAATCCCACTTGAGAAGAACTCTCTTGCCTGCACCGCAGGTTTGTAAGAACTCCGGGGAGCAGTGGTGATTTCGCTGTAAGTCTCTGCGTACTGTACCAATACGGCTCTCGGCATGAGGAATACCCTCTCCCCCGTGTTCTCAATATTTTCCGGGTCCTGAATTGGGAAAAATGTGTTAAATCATAGGACCCTTTAGAATAGGTTCAGTGAGCCAGCTTACCTTTCCTTATATCTAGCGAGTCTGGAACAATTAAATGAATCACAGTGTGGACGGCTTTTCGCTAACGCAGAACTCCGCTCATAAAAAGTGCGAGTTATAGGTGGTGCCTTGCTGGTTGCGATATGAAATGTTATAGGATCGTGATATCGTGGCAGATAGTGGGGCTCATGTGGTTTATATGTTGAGTTTGGCTGTAGCTCATCCTTATCGGAGGTTAGGTCTTGCATCAAGACTCCTCAGACATTTATTGGATTCGGTAAGTTGTAAAAACTGTTTGTTCTTCACTTGTTGCCTTCTTCTTTTTCGATTGGCTTCTCTTTATCAGGTTGTGGACAATTCCCCGTACCCGAAGGCTGTATTTTTACATGTTTTGTCGACTAATTTACCCGCAATAAAATTCTACAAATCACATGGATTCGTTCATCACACTACCTTGTTGTGAGTTCGTTTTGTATTTTGCAAGTGAAAGTTTTGCTGTTAGGGTAGCAGCTTATACAAGATTTTTCCGCACAAAAACACCATTTTAGAAATTATTATCATCTCAAGTCTGAGTTTGGAGACGCATGCACTTATGTGCTTTACACGAATGGGTCACGACCTCCGTTCTCTCTCAGTGATGTTTGCCGATCAGTGGGCACAGCCCTTTGTTTTCCGCTCAAAGCTTTATGCCGAACGTTTTTTCAATGATGAAATTAGTGTATGAGAAGGTCCCTTTCTTATGGAATAGAAATGGCGTAAGATTGAGACGCTTCTCTAGTTGCTGTTAGTTTTTCTACCAAGGGCTCGACCAGGAGGCGACCTGTCCCGTAGGTGACTATTCAAAATTATATTATGTTATCGAGGTTTAATGGGAACCATCCCTCTAAAAGGCTGCTTTGCAAACAGCTGAAGCTTTGGTCATACACGACGATTTTGACGAATCACGGAATTCGCTGGAAAATAATGTACAGTAGATATCGTCATCAGTCAGGGCGGTTTTTAGAGGGA